AACTAAAAAATAAATATTAAAAATTCTCTCTCTCTCTCTCTCTCTCTCTCTCTCTCTCTCTCTCTCTCCTCTCTCACTCTCTCTTTAAAAAAAATTATTGATCTTATTAAGTCTCCATTCCAGAGTTTATATTTTTACAATATTTTATGTGATTAAATGGGAAATACACATAAATACTGCATTCCGAAGTAAGGTGTTTGGTCAACAATTGTTTTAATATATTTTATTTTGAAACAAGTTCTTGTTGAGTTGCTTAGGTCCTGGCTAAGTTGCTGAGGCACCTCAGCCTCAGGATCCGCTGGGATTACAGGCTTATGCCACCACACCCAGTGACAAAAGGATTTTTTTTGAGCTGTAGTAGCCCCCTTTTTTACAGAATAACATTCCTACTTTTAAAAAAGTGCATGACAAACTATGATTACTTAGACTTAAATATTTGGCCAACATTGTCAAAAATAACCTAAGCAGTTCCCTCTAAAATAATCCATTGATAGTATTTTTTTGCCAGTGATAAAATGTAAGCTCTCAAGAAGAAATTAGAATCTTGGAGAACCTGAATCCACAACCATAAACTTGGCAGCTTCCCAATACTTAAAACATTTTTCTGTTGAAATCTGCAATAATATTAACATGTGTTTTTTTATAAATTGTACTTTAATGTATCAACACTGAATCAAAACATGCATGAATTTAAAGAATATGATGCATTATGGGCACAAGGTTCATTCAACATGCAAGAAAAACCCATGTACTATAAAGCAACACAATAGGAACTATTCAATGATATTGTTTCATAGAACTTTTAAGAAGCTAACACTGTGTCATTTCAGTGTAGTATTAATGGTAAATATCCAGTTATCTAAAACGCTATGAAAAAACATTCCTCCTACATATTTGTGTGAGGCTGCATTTTTTCTATTTTTCAACCAAAATAACAGGTTAAATGCCAAAGATATGAAAGTCTAGAATTTTCCAATGAGATAAATACAAAAAAAAAAAAAAGAATTGCAAAACTGTAAAATGCAAAAAGGTCACTTTTCTCACTGTGGTTGTTTTCTTTTGGGAAATAGTTATTTCTCCTTAAAAATATTATATGTTAACATGCTATTAGTAATATTCTAAATGAGTCACATTTTTAAGAGTGATTTTAACCTTTAATATGTCCACGTAAACAATTATTTTGGGAATCCACACTAATTTCTAACCACTCTCTAATCCTAGAACGGTGGCGGGGTTAGAGAAGCCATACACTGGGGATTCCCGACCTCCAGGAGTTTCACTTCTCCTTTCCCAAACCCGTTTCTAGTCCCTCTGCCTGGACACTCATGACGCGGTCCCAGTTCTCGCTCCCATTGCGTGTTGGGTTTCCAGAGAAGCCAATCGGCATCGCTGCGGTTCTGGGTTATAGAGTTCCCACAGACCCGCAGAGACTCAGATCCTCCAGACCCCAAGGATGGGGGTCCCGGCTCTGCAAACCCTCCTCCTGCTGCTCTCTCAGACCCTGGCCTTAACCGAGACCTGGTGAGTTCAAGGTCTAAAGGGAAATGGCCTCTGTTAGGGGAGGGGCGAGGGCACAGTCCAGCCGGGACACTTGACCCGGGGAAATCTTGCCTTGGTAGCGGTTGCACGGAGATCCAGACCCTCCCCACCCGCACMGCTCCTTGTCTTGATCCTCCCACCTCATTCCCTGCTGCCTGGTCGCCTTATCCTTCCGCCCCCTTTTTAGTCCCACGGGCTCCAGCGCCCGCCCTTCCTATCCGACTAACGTGGGATCCCCGGGTCCAGTGCCGGGAGGAGCATCTCAGCTGCTGCCTGTCTTCAGGCTCCCACCACTCCCTTCTTCTCCCACTCCACTTCCCGTGGCTGTGTCCTGGCCCTGCGGCGGGGAGGCCTGGTACATCTCCATCCACTACGTGGATGACTTAAATATTTGGCCACTTCGATAGMGACGTGGTGAATCCCAGGGCAGAGCCGCGGGTGCCGTGGATGGAGCAGGTGGGACCTGAGTACTGGGACCGGAACACATGGATCGTCAAGCGCAGTGCACAAGCCTTTCTGAGTGATTCTAAACAACCTGCTCGGCTAGACCAGAGCGACGCAGGTAAGTGACCCGGGCCCAGAGCGAAGGACACGAGACACCCTCATTCTCCATGAACGGGTCGGAATGGCCCAGCTTCACCCTAAGGCTGCGGGACTCGCGGGTCACGTAGACCTGGAGAAAGCCCCAGGGATTCACTCCAGTTGGGTTTTCGATTTCGTTGGGAAAAGGCTCTGATCAATCACCGCCCCTCAGTGTCACGCGGGGAAAGTCCGTGGGGCCGGACCGACAAGAGTGGCGGTGCCAGGAGCTCATACCTACCAGACTCTCCGTGGCTGCATCCTGGGGCGGCACCTGCGCCTCCTCCGCGGGTACTGTCAGGACGCCTACTTTGGTGGATTACAATGAGCTGAAAGAGGACYTGCGCTCCTGGACTGCGCGGACACAGCGGCTCAGATTACCCAGCGCTAATGGGAGGCATCCAGTGAGGATTATCGCTGTAGGGCCTACCTCTAGGAGGAGTGCGTGGAGTGGTTCCGCAGATACCTGCAGTACGGTAAGGAGAAGCTACAGTGCGCAGGTACCATGGGGCTGAGGGTATCTCCATGATCTGCCGATGTCACTGCCTGCCTTCCCCCCAGAAGGGGAGTAAAATTGGGCCAATGCTAGAATATCGCTCTCCCCTGAATCCAGAAAGGATGGAATCCGCCTGGGTTTCCGAATACTGTACTAGAGAGTATTACTCTCGGAGATGACTTAAGGGTCCAGTTGTTACCATCTAGGGGTGCTGGGTTCGTTGTCTAATTCAGCAAAGAATTGACGAACAGAACACAGAGATAGCAAGCAAGCAGCGAGTTTATTACAAAAGCTACAGAGACTTCTCAAAGCGAAAGGGCCTCAGAGCTGGGAACCAGGTGTGTGTTTGGGGGGGGGGGGTCTGATCTTTTTATGGTCTCTGAAATTTCCTCCTGTCCTTATCTCCTTCCCTGTCCACGTTCTCCTCAATATTATTGATTGATGCCCCCTCTGTCCTCGTGTCTGTTTTAGGTTTTCTATTGGACCCCCCACTTGGAAGGAGGAGTAAGGAAGTATCTGTCTAATTGGGTCCCCTGCTTGTGTCCACTTTCCTTAACCAGGAAGTTGACCTCATCAGAAGACCCTCTCCATGCTCCTTTGTTTTGGCCCTACCCTGATCTCCTTCCTCACTTGTCATCTTGCTCTGGCTGCCTAGGCCCTTCTACCTTTCCTTCACACTCTCCTGGATTGGACAGTCCCAGAAATAACTGACCAGCAGTTCCCTTTGACTCTGGCAGCAACCTTAGGCATTACAGAGGGACTTCTCTCATGCTTTGTTCTCTGCCCCCAAAGCAGTGTCTTTGGAGGTCTGACTCCAGTTTTTCCAATCCCTGGAACTTCACTCAGGTCACAACTCTAGGTCCCTCTCACAAACTTGGCACCTCATCCTGGGCTGTCTCACCCTGCTTCTAGAACTGTCCAAAGAATGGGAATATTATCCCAGATAACTGAGGACTGGCTAGTGGCTAGGTTTTACACTCTTTCCCATCTTAATTGTCCCATCACTTATTAGGATGATCAGAAGAATTCTTCTTCAGTAGCCCAAGGGAGATAATGCAAAATGTTTTAATTTCCTGATATTTCTACAATGCCCCCAAAGACACATGTGACCTACCACCCCATCTCTGACAATGAAGTCATCCTGAGGTATGGGCCCTTGGCTTCTATCCTAGGAAGATCACCCTGACCTGGCTGCAGTGGGGAGGACCAGATGCAAGACATGGAGCTTGTGGGGACCTGCAGGGGATGGAAACTTCCAGAAATGGGCAGCTGTGAAGGTACCTGCTGGAGAGGAGCAGAGATACACATGCCATGTGCACTATCATGGGCTGTCTGAGCCCTCACTCTGAGATGGGGTAAGGAGGGGGATGAGGGCACAGATCTGTCATTGGGGCAAACAGGAGCCATTCTGGAGACCCTCAGCAGAATCAGGGATGACAGCTAGACATCAGGGCATGAATAGGTCAATTTTCCTACAGTGAAATACCTGAAGATGGGTATTTAATAAAGTAAAGAAGTTTATTCTGGAGATTCACAGGCATGGCACCAGCATAAGTTGGGTTCTGGTGACAACCTCATAGCAGATGGCACCAGAATGGTAGGAGTTAGTACAAGAGAGAGAAATCACATGGCAAGACTAGAAGCCATAGAAAGGAGAGAGATTCTTTTAGTAATTTGTCCTCTAGAGAACTAAAGGTCCTATGAGAGCAGACCCTCAGTGACCTAAGGACCTCCCAATAGGCACTACTTCCTAAAGATCCCACCACCACAACACTACCATACTGGGAACCAAACTTCCAATGAACCCAGGAGGACAAACACTATCCAAACCATAATAGGGCCCCTCAGCTTTCCTTCCTTTCCCAGAGCAGTCTGCCCAGTCCATCATCCCCACCATGGGAATCATCACTGGCCCAGTTCTCCTTGGAGTTGTGGTCACTGAAACTGTGGTCAGTACTATTATGTGGAAGAAAAAGAATGCAGGTAGGGAAGGAGTGGGGTCAGAGTTCTTGTCCCATGAGGGGATTTCAAATGTAGGTAGAAAGGTGTCCTGTGTTAATAGGAAGTACCATCCACACACATGTTCTTATCCACCCTGAGGCCTTGTTTGCCTGAGGCCTCTTTTTTTTCTCTATTTTTAGTTGTAGATGGACACAATACCTTTATTTTGTTTATTTAGTTTTTTTATGTGGTGTTGGGGATTGAACTCAGTGCCTCCTGCATGCAAGGCAAGTGCCCTACCCCTGAGCCACAACCCCAGCCCCTGGAGCCTCTTATTAAAGCATATGAATGTAAAAGAAAAGTTTATCACCCTGGTGATGGTGATGATGGGAATCTGATTCCCAGCAGTAGCAGGTAACAGAGGAAGGTCCTTGATGAGGTACCTTCCAGGAAGACAGTTTCCTCATCCCTTTACCTCGTCTTTCCTCATGGCTCCTGATCCTGCTCCTGATCTGAAGTCATAATTCTAGAAATTGCCCCAGGGTTCAGGATTTGCTAATTCCTTTAGAACCTCATGACTCATGATCAACCCTGGCTTCTCACAGGATGTTTTCTTCCCCCAGGTGGAGAAGGAGGCAGCTACACTCAGGCCGCCTGTTAAGTATGCAGGGAATTGATCTCTGAGACCGTTGGGGACAGTGTAGACAGGAGCCCATGGGGAAGATCACCCAACCCCATAATTCCTGTTTTAGCCACAACTGTTATGGGCCCTTTTTGCACTGCCCCAGGCAGTGACAGTTCCCACGCTTCTGATGTATTTCTCCTGGCTTGTAAAGGTGAGACCATGGAGGGCTTGAAGTGGAAGAGGAGGGAGGGCAAGGGAAGACTCCTAGTTTATGGGGATTCTCTGGATTTGTACATTTTTAGTATATGGTGGGCTATTCAGAGTGTCACCACTTACGGTGAATGATATGAATTTGGTTTTGATTTTTTTTTTTTTTTTTTTTTTTTTTTTTTTAGTGTGAGATAGCTGCCTTGTATGGGACTGAGAAATACAAGATTTGTTCAAGTGCCCCCAACATTGAGATTTCGGGAAGCTCCTAAATTCTCTTTCTGCAACTGGCCCCTAAAAACTTACATGTCTGTGTCCCAAGGAGTATAATGTGAGAAAATGTGGATACCAGCCTATCCCTAAGCATCTAGTCCCTCTTGTTTGTCCTCTCATTGTCTAAGTCAGTTTTCCATTACTGTAAAAAAAAAAAAAAATACCCAAGATAATCACCTTACAAGAGGAAAGGATTTTTGGCTAATAGTTTGAGATTTCAGTCCATGATCAATTGTCCCCATTGCTTTTAGACCTTTGGCAAAGCAGCATGTCATGGTGGCAGCACCTAGCAGAGGAACAAAAGAGAGAAGAAACCATGGCCACATGACATCCTTTGAGGGCACAACCCCAATAACTGAAACCTCGCACAAGGCTCCACCTCATATTTTTCCCACCATCTTCCAATAGAACCACATGCTGGGAACCAGGCTTTAACATGAACTTTTGAAGGAAATTTCAGATCCAAACTATAATGTTACCCTTACAAGGTTCAGCCAGCCCTTGCACACAGGAAATTTGTGACATCAAGAGATGAATTTTCAGATTTATACAGCTCTTGCCCTCCTTTTAGAAGTGTTCCTTGTATTGTACTTCCCATCCACTTCCTAACCTTCTTAAATGAACCAGATTTGGGGATTAGCAGAAAAGAGGGACTTTATAATTTCTCATCATAGATAGATTCCTGTTAAGTTTTTGTTTTTTCTAATCACCTGTCCCTTTTCCCTGCCCTTAGTTCTAGTAATCCTAGTGATTGCTCCAATCCAAACTTGTGGATTTATAAAGCAGAATCTAATTTAGACATTTATTGCTTGAAATATAGGGCCTATGATCCTAGCATCTTGTTTAGTGAAGAGACAAATGTACTCATGTGTTGTGGAGTGCAGGGTGTGGGAAGTAGAGTGGGGGAAGAGAGGGCAGCCCTGACATCCAGCTGCCAGGAAAACACTGGGCTTCACACAGATATTAGAATAAGCAGACAATGACATTAAGACAGTGTTCATAAATTTATTCCAAATGTTCATGAGACACATAAAAGATCACAATCAAAATTCCAAAGATAAAAGCATCTGAGATGTCAAATGTACAAAATGTGAGGTGAGATTCATGGTAGACTGTACTGAAGAATAAAAGATCAATGACCTTGGAGACAAAGAAATAGAAACTTTCCAAAATTTGCATAAAGCAATTCTTACAATATATTGTCAGTTTTATGACGTAATTTGATATGATGTTTAAAAATATCAGCACAACAAAGAAGAAATAGAGAATAACATCTTCATATCTCACTGAAATTAAGTATGAATTTTGAAGTAGTTTTTGGTAGACAAATTGTATAGAGTAAGTCCAAGAGTAACCATGAAGAAAACTATAATGAAAAATAATTAGAATTAACATATTATAGTAGCAAATATCCACTTAATACATGCAGAATCAGTAAAGGAAGAGGGAGAAAAGACATGAGACAAAGTAAATTACAGACAAAGTTCATTAACATTAAATGGAAATGGAATAAATAAGCAAATCAAAAGACAGAGATTGTCACACTAGATAAATAAGATTAAACTACACACTGTCTACAGTAGACACACTTACGATTCACAGGTATACATAGATAAAAAAAGATGGAAAGTAATGGCTATGGTGCCCTCTTGTGATCSAGCAACTCTGGAAGCAGAAGCAGGAGTTTGAGGCCATCCTCAGCAACTTATTGAGACCCTGTCTCAAATTAAATTTAAAAAGGGCTTTTTGCTCAGTGGTAAATCACCCCTGGGGGTTCAATCCTGAGTACTAAAGGGAAAAAAAAAAAAAAAAACAGTGAAAAAGAGATATATATTAATAGCAACCATAAGAAATCTGGAGTGGCTACACTAATGATCAACAAAATAGACTTTATTTTATTAATTAGATTAATCAGTAATAAAAGTGTCAGTCCATCATAAACAATAATTAGAAGCATATATACATCTAACACCCAAACACCAAATGACATAAAGATGAAACTTAAAAAAACAAAGAAATATACACACAATAATCTTAGTTGAAGACTTCAGGACTCCACTTTCACTAACGAATATGTTAAGCAAGTGATCAACAAAGAATATCTGAACACCACCATAAACTATCCCAATCAAATGGATATCCATAAACATTCCTCTCAAGAGCAAAATACACTTTTTTTTCTCAAATGCATATGGAACATTCTTCAGGATACACACCAAATGTCAGGCCACAAGACAAATACTAATAAGTTTAAAGGAACAGAAAGTTTCAATGGCTGGTATTGTAACTCAGTGGTAGAGCACTTGCCTAGCACATGTGAGGCACTGGGTTCAATCCTCAGCACCGCATAAAAAAATAAATAAATAAAATAATTTTTTTWAAATGTTTCAATTATGTCCTCTGACCAAAATGGAATAAAATTTTAGGAATCAATTACTAACTGAAGGAAATTTGAGAAACTCAACACATTAATGGAAACAAAACATTACAGGATAATTACTGAATCAAAGAAAAATAAAATCAAAATTAGAAAACACTTTCAGATTAGTGAAAATGGAGAGACAACACACCAAAACTACAGAGATGCAAATGAAGGAGCACTTAGAGGGAAATATATAACTGTAATACCTATGTTAAAAAGAAATAAAGAGGGCTGGGGTTGGCTCAAGGGCAGAGTACTCACCTAGCACATACAAGGCCCTGGGTTCGATCCTCAGCACCACATAAAAATAAATAAACAAAAATAAAGGTATTGTGTCCAACTACGACTGGATGACTTTGTTCTTTGCTTGTGTTTTTTTTTTCCCCCTGTAATGTACAATTTACTTTTAAAAAATAAAAATTATTTTAGAAACCTGAAAAAAAATAAATAAATAAATAAAWAATAAATATTTTTAAAAAAAGAAAAAAATAAAGATCTCAAGTTAATAATCTAATTTTCCATTAAGAAGAAAAAAAAGAATGCCATTGATGACCCGCACCTGCCATCCCAGCAGCTCGGGAGGCTGAGGCAGGAGGATTGCAAGTTCAAAGCCAGTCTCAGCAAAAAGTGAGGCACCAAGCAACTCAGTGAGACCCTGTCTCTAAATAAAATACAAAACAGGGCTGGGGATGTGACTTAGTGATCTGAGTGCCCCTGGGTTTAACTCCAAAAGAAGGAAAAAAGAGCAAAGTAACCAAGCATACTGGTGGTTAATTCAGCAAATTAGCAACTTGGAAAGCAGAGATAGGAGGAGGCCAAGTTCAGGGCCAATCTCAACAATCTAGCCAGACACTATCTCAAAATAAAAAAATGAAAAGGGCTGGGGGTATAGCTCCTGGGTTCAATTCAAAAGAAGAGAGAGATGCAAAAAAAGGAAGCAAGCAAACTAAATGAGGAGGGGTGTTGCCGTGAAAGTAAGTGAAATAGAGAATAAAGAAATGATACAGAGCATCAATGAAACCCAATGATTCTTCAAAAAGATGAACCAAATGGGCAACTTATCAGAGGATTCACGAAAATATTACAAAATAAAAAATTTAAAACTCCAATACTAGCATCACAAAATAAAAAGTAGGCATATTATTTACTGTACAATAATAAAGTGTTTAAAATGCATTCATTCACCACATAAAGATGTTTTATGTACCATGGTAGATCCCTCAGATTATAATGAAACTGAAAAATTCCTATGGCCTACTGACAGGAAGCCCTTGTAATATCATGCAACATTTTACTTTCAGGTTTGTGGTGATGCTGGTGTAAACATACCCATAGTATAAGAATATAGCACATGCAGTTATGTACAGTACATGCTACTTGATAATGATAATAAACAACTGTTACTTGTTTATGTACTTACTATAATTTTTAGCCTTACTTTAGGGTATACTCCTTAAGCTTATTTAAAAAAAAAAAAAAACTAACTATAAAAATACCCTCTGATTGGTCCTTCAGAAAAGATTCCAGAAGAAGGCACTATTATAGGATATGACAGCTTTATGCCCCTGCAGATCTTCCAGTGGGACAAAATGTGGAGGCAGAAGACAACGATATTTATGATCCTCAGTGTTGACCCATGATAAATGTGTATGTTTGTGTCTTAGGTGTTTTTGCTGTTGGTGGTGGGTTTTTTAGTTTGTTTGTTTTGTTTTGTTTTGTTACTGGGAATTGAACTAAGGGGCACTCAACCACTGAGCTACATCCCAGCCCTATTTCGTATTTTATTTAGAGACAGGGTCTCACTCACTGAGTTGCTTAGTCCCTCACTAAGTTGCTGAGGCTAGCTTTGAACTCTCAATCCTCCCGTCTCAGCCTCCTGAGCCACTAGGATTACAGGCATGCACCACCATGGTAGGCTATGTCTTAGTTTTAACAACAACAACAAAACTTAATAAGTAGGCTGGGGATATAGCTCAGTTGGTAGAGTGCTTGCCTCCCATGCACAAGGCCCTGGGTTCAATCCCTAGCACTAATAAATAAATAAATAAATAAATAAATAAATACATAAACAAACAAGCTTAATAAGTAAAAAAATTATTAAAAATAGAAAAAATATTTTTGTATAGTTACAACACAATGTGTGTTTTAAGATAAACAAGCTTTTATTTCAAGAGGAAAATTTTTTTTTAATTAGAAAGTTTATAGAGAAAAAAGTATGCTAATGTTAATTTATAATTGAAGAAAATAATGTAAATGAATTTATTGTACCATAAGCATAGAGTATTCATGAAGTCTGCAGTGGTGTACATAAAGTCCTAGGGCTCCACATTCACTCATTGCTCACTCATTGACTCACCCAGAACAATTTCCAATTTTGTAAGTTCCATTCATCATAAGTGCCCTATACAGGAATACCCGTTTTTACTTTATTTAGATACATTTAGATATACAAATGATTACATTGTGTTACAATTGCCTACAATATTAAGTATAGTCACATGTTGCAAAGGTTTGTAGCCTAGGAGTAGAAGGCTATGCCATCCGGCCAGGTATGTGGTAAGCCATACCACCTAGTCCTGCATAAGTACACTGTGTATTCACAGCATGATGAAAATGCCTAAAAATACCTGYCTCAGAAGGGAGAAATGACTATAAATATATTACAGAAAATAGATGAAGCATAATTTAGAAGATATAAAAAGGAAATGGGAATAGTCACAATTATATTTGATGATCAATACTTCTCTCTCATTAACAGAACAAGTAAAAATTAATAGTAAATAAATATATAGAATATTGAAACCCCACTGTAGGCTGATTGGACTTGACATTTTTTAAGTAACCACATACAAGATTAGCACAGACATTCTCTTAAGTGTATATGGAGCATTCTCCAAAACCAACCATTTCCTGACTTTAAGACAAGTCTCAGTAAATTTAAAGAAATTGAATTTATAGAGTATATTCTCTAAACACAGTTAAGAATCTATAACATTAAGATAGCTGGAAAATCCTCAAATATTTGGAAATCAATCAGTGTACTTCTAAAACATCCATGAGTTAAAGAAGAAATCACAAYAGAAATCAGAATTTTTAACTTAAAACGTAATCCAAGAGGCTAGGGTTGCAGCTCAGTGGTAGAGCACTTACCTAGCACGTGTGAGGCACTGGGTTTGATCCTGAGCATCACATACAAGTAAATAAATAAATAAGGGCTGGGGATGTGGCTCAAGCGGTAGCACGCTCCCCTGGCATGCGTGCGCCCGGGTTCGATGCTCAGCACCACATACCAAAGATGTTGTGTCCGCTGATAACTAAAAAATAAATATTGAAAAATTATCTCTCTCAAAAAAAAATTAAAAATAAATAAATAAAAGTATTGTGTCCAACTATAATTAAAAAATATTTTTAAAAATGTAATCTAGGGCTGGGGATGTGGCTCAAGCGGTAGCGCGCTCGCCTGGCATGCTTGCGGCTGGAGTTCGATCCTCAGCACCACATAACAAAGATGTTGTGTCTGCCAAAAACTAAAAAATAAATATTAAAAAAATTCTCTCTCTCTCTCTCTCTCTCTCTCTCTCTCTCTCTCTCTCTCTTTCTCTAAAAAAAAATGTAACCAAATGTGAGAGATGCAACTGAAGCAGTCTTTTGAGGGAAATTTATACAAATAATGATGAAACTACAATACACAAGTTATGCCAAGAAGTCAATTTGATAATGACACAAAATGAATAAATACTTTTAAAGGCACAACTGGACAAATTGAATCAAGACAAAATAAGAAATGTGAACCCATACATGTAAATTAAATTCATAATTTCAAATATTCCAGGGGGCCAGGCACAATGGTGCACACTTGTAATCCCAGCTACTTGGGAGGCTAAACCAGGAGGATTGTAAATTCAAGGCCAGCCTCAGCAACTTAGCATGGCCCTAAGTAACTTGGAGAAACCCTGTCTTCAAATAAAAAAAAGAACTGGGGATGTCACTCAGTGGTTAAGTGGCCCTAGGTCCAATTCCCAGTACCAAATACATATAATATATATGTATATACATGTATATATTTATTTATATGTATATACATAAGGATATCTATAGTGTGTGTGCGTGACACATGCATCCATACCAGGGGCTAGGGACATAGCACTGAAGTAGAATGCTTGCCTAGCATGTGAAAAGCCCTAAGTTTAGTCTCCAGCACACACACACATACATAAACAAACAACAAACAAAAAACATAATGTAAAAATATTCCACAAAGAAAATTCCAGGCTCAGATGGCTCACTGGTAAATTCAATCACTGCTCTAAGAATAAACACCAA